TGATGACGTCACTCCTGTGGAAGCAGCATGGCACACTGTGTGCACTGAATGTACGGTGTCACTGTACAGCGGCTATTGCTGATATGAATACCTCCTAAACAGGGCACATTTAAGAGATTATCATTATATGTAAAAGTAAGCCTGATTGTAAGATTACTTGTAGATACAAGTTCAATAGAGAATTAACTACCACTTTAATGTGTAGATTAAAATTCCCCTGTGATGGAGCCTCCCACTGCTTCCGTGCAAGAGAATGGCCACAGAGAGCAATGTCTTACCCTATGGCCCCCCTTTCCCCCCAGACACAAACTAATATTTATCCTAACGTTAACTCTTCCTTAAGTATACTTAAAACCAAACTCCGGTTCTAGCCCTTTCAGGCTCACCACTTTGCAATTCAGCACTGGTCTTCTTCTGGGTTTACCGATGCCCAGCATCCTTTAACCCAAATCCATTAAACACAGGGTGTCAAGGACTGAACCCTAGGGATACAGCCACCTTGGGATTACAAGGGAATTCTGCAGGTAACAGCGCTGACATGATTATGTGACACAATTCTCTGTAGCTTTCTAGACCTCCCTGCCACCAGAGGAAGAAGAGGAACTGTGACATCACTGGACCACCTTTGACCACATTCTCAGAGTGACACAAAAGGTGTCCAAACGGGCTTAAACATTTAATTAATGTACATTAATTTAAAAAAAAAAAGAAGAAGTTGGTTCAGGATTGGTTGTTACAAAACTAGCTTGGGCTCTAAGTCCACAGCCCCGTACACACAGGCCAAATATTGGGTGGTAACAGTCTGTCCAACAGAAATCAGACGATATTCGGCCCATGTGTACAGCAGCCAGTCCAACAGAATCTGGGCGTTCGTCCAGCTTCTGTCAGAGGGGCATGACCAAATAAGGTTGGCTGATTGGCTTCTGATCAGTGCTCTCAGCCAATGGCTGAGAGTGGTGACTAGTGTGCTCTGATGGGCGGGGCAGTGCCCCTGTCAGAACACAATAGCACAGTGGGGGAGAACACTGTACAAACTGATAGTGTGTATGGGGCATTCCACTTTTGTTTGTGGTTTTTTTTTGTTTTTTTTATGACATGACTTCTTTCTCCAGTCTATTTGGGAATAAGGGAGGTTTTAAAGCACTAGTCACCTGCTCCTTGCTCCAATGCTGCCTTCCTCATCCTGTTCTGCTGGTTGCTGCTTTTCTTCTCGGATGAATGTCCCCCAATATCATTATTCAGCCACCTCATGTGACCCCAGGCTGTCATGGACAAACCCCCTGTGGAGCAGGATCACGGAGCCTTAAGTTAGTGATGATCTGCATAGAATGGTGCTCATGCTTCCCAACACAATATTCTGCAGTGTGGACTGCCGACACTAGAGAAAAAGGTCCCAACTGATCAGGTTACTGCATGGCAAACCTGGATTTAAAGTCTATGCTATAAAGTATAGAGACTTAGGTACGGGTAGGGGCGCAGAAGTGAAGATGGAGAAAGAGCCAGGATCTCTGCATCAGGGAAGTTGAAAAGTTGCAAGTTCCAAAATATGGGTACAGAAGTATAATGTGCTAAACATACCTGCCAGCCAGAGCTTTCTTTTCTATTGTCCAAAACTGCATTCAGAAGAATCTTCTTAAAATCCTCTGCAGCCTGTGATGTTCAGTCCTGAGTCGCTGTAGGGATAGAGTAGCTGTTGGGACCAGCGCCCCCTAGTCCCGCGGGTGGGAGTGTTTGTGCTGTTCTATTGGGCCGCATATTCACAGTATACAAGCTCTCTCCTGTCCCAGCCACTGAGCTCATCATAGGTGGCAGGTGAGAGTACACACTGCACATGTGCAACCCAAAAGAGTAGGATGGGGCTCCCTTCAGTGACACTAGGAGGTGCTAGTCCCAAAGGCTGCTCCATGCCTACAAAAACTCAGGGCGGAGCCATCGCAGGCTGCAGAGGATTTTAAGGAAATTCTTTTCATTGCAGTTTTGGACAACATTCTTTAAAGTTAAAGCAGGGTTGGGCAATTATTTTTCCCAAGTGGCCATATGAGAAACTAGGACTGTTGTGGAGCGCCAAGCAAAGGTTTAGCATATAGCAAAAAAAAAAAATGTTGCTTAAACCAGCAGCCATAGGTGAACAACACTGGACTTGGAAGGTCCATAAGTACGTAAACATATAGAAAACAAATATCTGGTGCTGGGAATAATAGCTACAGCTGCTTATGAAATGGTGTGCACACTCACAATTAATAGAAGCAATAGTGAAGAAATTGTTGGTTACAATGTTGGTGTAGGACAGGCTGGTATAAGTAGTGAGGGAGCTGATAGGGGCTAATAATTAAGGGTCAATTCACACTGACTTGTGCTAAAATGTAGAGAAAATGGATGTACATTTCCATCAATTTTAGTCACGTAGTCCATTGACACACATTTTGATGTCCGTTGACATGCATTCTAGTGTGCGTTAAAGCGTATTGCATTTTCATGGAATATCCTGTTCATTGTGTTGACTTCCGCTTACGTCCGTTGTGTTGTGCTAAAATGCATACCTGTTGCATCTTAATGCAACGCAGGTCAACGTAGGGTTTTGGTGAATGGGACACATTGCAAATTATTGTTTTTCAGATGTCCTTATGTTGATCTGCGTTTTACAGCTGCGCTAAAATGCAGATCATGCATCATATGGAGCTAATTTAGCCATTACGGGACTATGCATACCTCAATACTTGGTCCACCATATTTAATATGAGATCTTTGGAGTGTGGTGCTTTGTTTTGTATGTTTTTAAGATGTTTTTCATTAAAGAAGTTGTTCATTAATTTTTTGACCACTGTTTATTATTAATAAGAACAGGTGTACTTCGGTTTACTATTTAATGCGTTCTACGGAATTTTCGTATTGCGAAAAATTCGTAAACTGAAACGTGGTTTCCCATAGGAATGCATTGAAAACCAATTAATTCGTTCCGGAGGTCAGATAAAAGTAAAAAAAAAAAAAAAAGTATTTTATCTGTTCAAAACTTTTTATAAAGTGCACTTTAAAGGCTTAAATACTGTACAGGGACATGATTAAAAATTAATTAGTAAATGCAGTGAAAACCAATTAATCTGTTCCAGAGGTCAGAAAAAGTCAAAAAAAGTCTTTTATCTGTTCAAAACTCTTCATAAAGTGCACTTTAAAGGCATAAATACTGTACAGGGACATGAGTAAAAACGAATTTGTAAATGCATTGAAAGCCAATTAATCCGTTCCGGAGGTCAGAAAAAAGTAAAAAAAAAAAAGTCTTATCTGTTGAAAACTCTTTATAAAGTGCACTTTAAAGGCATAGTACTGTTGTCAGGAATGGACTGGCCAGCAATGGTGGGACTCACCTGCCTTTTGATCTGCAGTACCAGGGCTGGCCAGCGGGTGCTCCCAGCAATCAGAGACTCAACTTTGCAGCCAGCTAACACCTGGAACTGATTATGCTGGGGTATTTAAGGGATGGCCAGACCCACAGACTCTGCCTTGGTGTGTGTTTGTCCTGGGCCCTGTATCTGTCCTGCATCCTGTTTCTGTTCCTTTGCTGACCCTCTGTACTACGCTGCTTGCTACCTGTTCTGATCCCTGGCTTGTGACCCTGACCATCCCTCTGCTTGACCCTCTGTACTACGCTGCTTGCTACCTGCTGAACCTGGCCTGTGACCCCGACCATTCTCCGCTTGCTCCCCCTGTACCTACCTGCCCAATTGATATTGACCCGGCCTGCCTGACGACGCTTGCTTGTATGTACTGTTATCTGTGGGTGGTTGGTTTGGGTTTGTTTGCACTGTATTATGTTTAGTATTGCACTGCGTTTATGTTTGTATTGTTAGTGTTAATAAATTATATTGTTTATCCCATATCTGAAGTCTGCGTTTCCCTGCGTCAGTCACACATCTCTGGTCATACCTGGGAGCCCTGACATTACACCAAGGCCAATCCTGACCAGAAGTGGCTGCACAGGGAAGCCATCTTGGTTTGTTGATGGGAAGGATGGATCTGGATGAGGTTGAGTATTTATCTCTGCTAGTGTTTGATGACAGGGAGTATGCTTATCAAACTCTGAAGGAGTATCCCCGGGATGAACTGCTAGAATGTATACGGCTCACTCATGTTCTAGTAGATCAGGGCACAGAGTTCTCTGAGGTGCAGCCTTTGATTGAGGTTTGTGCAGAGTTGGTTTCATCTGGTTCCCCCGAATGCAGGGATGAATTTTTGCCACCATTTAGTGCAGACCAGGTAGAGTCCCTGGTGTGGTTATTAGAGGATGATGTGGGTTACTTTCTGGAGCGTTATTCCACATGTTCACCACAGACACTAAGAGTTTGTATAAACGCAGTGCAGTCATTGACCAGACAGGCTTTGTGTAAGCTCAGCTTTGTTCAACCCCTACTGCAGACATGGACAGACTTGTTGCACCCAGCCTCAGTCAGCTTACAAAGACCCAGTCCTGCTTCTAACTCTACTCCTGTATTCCCAACAGCTCCTCCAGTTACAGCCCAGTATACTTGGCTATCTACCGCATGTCAGTACCCTGTTCCCACTCGCTGCACCTATCCTGCCTTTAACCCTGTAAAAAAGCCCTCTGTAGCAACTGCTCCCTCTCCTGTTCCATCCTCCAGTTCTTCTCTGTCTCCAGCTGCTCCATTCGTTTGCAGACCTGCGTTTACTTGCAGTGCTCCAGTAGTTAAAACCAGAAAAAAGCGAAAATTCTTTCCAACCAATACCATCCTGCCAGTATCCAAACTGGTGAACCTGCCTTCCGTGGTTCAGCCTGAAGCCTCTACTCGGCCTGAAGCCTCTACTCGGCCTGAAGCCTCTACTCGGCCTGAAGCCTCTACTCGGCCTGAAGCCTCTACTCGGCCTGAAGCCTCTACTCGGCCTGAAGCCTCTACTCGGCCTGAAGCCTCTACTCAGCCGGACGCCGGCATTCAGCCTGATGCCTCTACCCAGCATGATGAACTGATCCAGCCTGATGATCCTATTAGGCCAGTTGACTCGATGCCCGCTGTTGATCCAGATGATCCGGTACCTGATCCGGTGCTCGCTGTCGTGCCAATTGACTCAGAGCCCGCTGTCGTATCTGGTGACTCGGTGCCCACTGCCTTGCCAGATGACGCGGTGCCCGCTGGCGAGCCAAATGACCTGATGCCTGGTGACCCAGTGCCCGCTGTCATACCTGGTGACCCGATGCCCGCTGGCGAGCCAGACGATCCAATGCCTGGTGACCCGGTGCCCACTGCCTTGCCAGATGACGCGGTGCCCGCTGGCAAGCCAAATGACCTGATGCCTGGTGACCCAGTGCCCGCTGTCGAGCCAGACAATCCGGTACCTGATGACCCGGTGCCCACTGTCATGCCTGTTGATTTAAAGCCCACTGCCTTGCCAGATGACGCGGTGCCCGCTGTTGAGCCAAATGATTTGATGCCTGGTGACCCGATGCCCGCTGTCCAGTCAGACGATTCAATGTCTGACCCAGTGCCCGCGGTCATACCAGTTGACTCGGAGCCCACTGCCTTGCCAGATGATGCGGTGCCCGCGGTCAAGCCAAATGACCTGATGCCGGGTGACCCGATGCCCGCTGTCCAGCCAGACGATCCAATGTCTGACCCAGTGCCAGCGGTCATGCCAGTTGACTCGGAGCCCACTGTCGTGCCAGATGACTCGGCGCCCGCCGCTCTGCCTGAGGGCCCGAGACCTGTCGCTCCACCTGGGGGTCCGAGACCTGTCGCTCCATCTGGGGGTCCAGCGCCCGCCGCTTCGCCTGGGGGCCCGAGACCTGTCGCTCCGCCTGGGGGCCCGAGACCTGTCGCTCCACCTGGGGGTCCGGCACCTGTCGCTCCGCCTGAGGGCCCGAGACCTGTCGCTCCGCCTGGGGGCCCGATGCCGGTCGCCCCGCCTGGGGGCCCGGTGCCGGTCGCCCCGCCCGGGGGCCCGGTGCCTGCTGCTCCGCCCGGTGACCCGCTGCCTGCTGCTTCGCCTGGTAATCCGATGTGCCTCTGCCCGGAGTCCAGCCCGATGTGCCTCTGCCCGGAGTCCAGCCCGATGTGCCTCTGCCCGGAGTCCAGCCCGATGTGCCTCTGCCCGGAGTCCAGCCCGATGTGCCTCTGCCCGGAGTCCAGCCCGATGTGCCTCTGCCCGGAGTCCAGCCCGATGTGCCTCTGCCCGGAGTCCAGCCCGATGTGCCTCTGCCCGGAGTCCAGCCCGATGTGCCTCTGCCCGGAGTCCAGCCCGATGTGCCTCTGCCCGGAGTCCAGCCCGATGTGCCTCTGCCCGGAGTCCAGCCCGATGTGCCTCTGCCCGGTGTACCGCTGCCCGGAGTCCTGCCAGGTGTGCCAGTCTTTGATATCCCGCCAGTTACCAGACCCGGGCGGTGGAACATTTTTCCCAGCTAGGACTGTTTGGAGCGTCCTGAGGCCGCTCCTTGAGGGGGGGGGGGTACTGTCAGGAATGGACTGGCCAGCAATGGTGGGACTCACCTGCCTTTTGATCTGCAGTACCAGGGCTGGCCAGCGGGTGCTCCCAGCAATCAGAGACTCAACACCTGGAACTGATTATGCTGGGGTATTTAAGGGATGGCCAGACCCACAGACTCTGCCTTGGTGTGTGTTTGTCCTGGGCCCTGTATCTGTCCTGCATCCTGTTTCTGTTCCTTTGCTGACCCTCTGTACTACGCTGCTTGCTACCTGTTCTGATCCCTGGCTTGTGACCCTGACCATCCCTCTGCTTGACCCTCTGTACTACGCTGCTTGCTACCTGCTGAACCTGGCCTGTGACCCCGACCATTCTCCGCTTGCTCCCCCTGTACCTACCTGCCCAATTGATATTGACCCGGCCTGCCTGACGACGCTTGCTTGTATGTACTGTTATCTGTGGGTGGTTGGTTTGGTTTGTTTGCACTGTATTATGTTTAGTATTGCACTGCGTTTATGTTTGTATTGTTAGTGTTAATAAATTATATTGTTTATCCCATATCTGAAGTCTGCGTTTCCCTGCGTCAGTCACACATCTCTGGTCATACCTGGGAGCCCTGACAACTGTACATGGACATGATTAAAAAAAAATTGTAAATGCATTGAAAACCAATTAATCCGTTCGTATTGTGAAAAAAATTTGTAAACCGAAGCATTTTTTTCAATGGCTTTTCATTCGTAAACGGAAAATTACGTTAACCGAAACATTTGTAAACGGAGGTACGCCTGTATGCCAAAAAGCCATGAGTCCTGGTAGAATCCATTAACCAATCCTTTTAGTTTGGTTTGCATACAGGTGTTTGGGGATTCCCGGACTATCTTTTTGAGACCTTGAGGCTTTTTTCCTGGGAGATTTCATAAAATGCAGATCAACACACTGATGTTAATTGGCCATAAATGATCTGCCATTCTGAGTGCTGATATGTGGCTGAGACTCAGGGAGATAACTGGCAGAGCTGCAAACACTGTGACTGGAAGGAGAGAGCCTGAGATTGATACAGTGGGGAATTTTTTCAGATCCTGACCTGGAGTGGCTTCTGGGGTTTGCAGTGTGCAGGCAGCAGAGTGGCAGGACAGCATCACGATATCTCCTAGGCAGAGCTCTCCCACCAGAACCGAGTCTCACTGCTGTACCAATCAGCTCTTTAGGCTCTCTCCTTCCTGTTCTTGCAGCTCTCTACACATCTGTTAGCACCTCTGTGAGCCTGGCAGCTTCCTCAGTGAGTAAGCTGACAGGTACAGAGAGGCATGTTGACAATGGAGGGATCATGGGCTGGACAGGGACAGCCAAAGGGCTGGTTGTGGCCCTGGGTCTGCAATTTGCCCAGGTCTGATATAAAGTGAGCCCTGGCTGAAAGGTAGGGTTTAAGCATGCTATGCTGCTGTACCAATATGGGACTTTTTGGTAAAGGAAAACTTTATTTTTATCTCAATAAATGTTTATCCTTATCTCAGTACATGTGATTTTGCTTTCTTTTAACCTCAATAGACGTTACAAGGACACTGCATTTCTGGCAAGATCAACAGGTATTTTCTGCACTTGCTGAAAATTGTCTTAGCCTGAAAAAAAAAACTAATGAAGCCACCACATCTAAGACCTGGAAAGCTACAATATTTTTTTTTTTGGTTTCTGGGTTTATATATGCCTTACTCTGAGAATAATTAAACCCCCCACCCCCACATAAGCAACACATACTGTTTTTAGCTTAATTTATGTTAGAGAAATTAAATATTTTAAAACGTAAAAAGAAAAAAAAACATTTCCAATTATACCACAGACAGTACAAAAAGGTCAGTCACAAAGCATTTCAAAGAAATGTGTTTAAAGCCGTAAGATATTGTAAATGCATGTAATTCAGCTTATAAGCGTACACTGTTCAAATTCGGTGGCTTCCCTGCTTGGTTAATGTGTCTTTCTGTTTGTCACAGTATGCAGTCTGGAGCCATAAGCATATCATCGCTCTCAGCAAGCTTCTTATTCACTTGTCTGTGCTTCTGTTTTCTAAGATATCAGTAGTCAGGCTTTGAGTTACTGAGCTGTCAATGCAAGATGCTTAAATGCAAAGCTTCCCAAAAATATTTCTATTGCCGTTATGTTGTGTTTTTATGTACTAACACCCATTACATAGCAAGCCTTTTTCTTCCTTTGACTTGCTAGCAAGAAGTAGGTAGCTTATGAATTAAAAGTATCCCATTACATGAAACAAGATTTAAAGTATTTCTTCTCTTTAGATATTTTGTATGTCGAGATTGACTGTCAGTCAGTCCATCTCTGGTATGAATACTGTATATTTCAGTTTTAAGTTAACTGCTTCCTGACCGCCCTATAGCAGAAATACTGCTACATGGTGGCACGGGTGTGCAAAATCACGTATGTATACGTGATTTTGCATTACTGGGTAGGGGGCATACGCAAGCCCTACCCGCGCTGCCATCCGTGGCCACGGCTGTCAATCGTGGCTGGTGACTACTCAGCGGTGCCCGGTGATTATCAAGGATCTCCAACGTGGAGGAGAACTGTTTTGTTTACTAACAGTTCTCCTCCCTGTCAACTCGGGCACACTGCACAGCACAGCCATCTAAAGCAGTATGCTTACAGTGAAGCACACAGACACAGCCCCATAGTAAAACACTCCCTGCACACAGTTAACCCTTTGATCGCCCCTCATGTTAACCCCTTCCTGCCCAGTGCCATTAGTACAGTGTCAGTGCTTTTTTTTTTTTTTTTTTTTTTTTTTTTTTAAGCTTTGATCACTGTATTGGTGTCATTGGGGATGTCAGTGACACCAAGTCGGTTCCCCCCAGTGTCAGAATGCTCGCCGCAGTCCCGCTATAGGTCGCTAATTGCTGCCATTACTAGTAAAACAAATGTAAAAATTAAAACATATCAGTATATATACCGCCTTCCTGTTCTTGCAGCTCTCTACACATCTGTCAGCACCTCTGTGAGCCTGGTAGCTTCCTCAGTGAGTAAGCTGACAGGTAAACACTATAACTTTTACATAAACCAATCAATCTATACGTATTGGGATTTGTTTTTAGCAGAGACATGTAGCAGAATACATTTTGGCATAAATTTATGATGAAATTTGATTTTTTTACTGGACATGTTTAATTTTTTTTTTTTTTTGTAGCGTAAAAAAATTAAAACTGCACAGGCAATCAAATACCACTGAAAGAAAGCTCAATTGTTGGGAACAAAAAGGACGTAAATTTCATTTGGGTGCAGCGTTGCATAACTGCGCAATTGTCTGTTAAAATAATGCAGCGCCGCAACGGAAAAAATGGCCTGGTCAGGAAAGGGGGTAAATCCTCAGGAGGACAAGTGATTAAAGCTGCAGGAAGTCTTTTAGTGTTGCAATTCAAGCAGACTCGACCTGCAGGTTTGAACTTCTTCAAATAGTGATTAGTGTTAAAACAGAATTATCACAATTTTTACATTACTACATTTTTCAGTGCTACTTCAGCTGTAGTAGTGCGATTTCAAAGCTGCATTCGGTGTGAACCAGGGCTTAATGAAGGTTGGGGCACTCCAAAATTGCAGCTAGCAATACAGGGCACCTAGGGAGATGGGACATAAACCTTCATGTACTTGTCACATGGGGAGCTTAATAATGTAAAAAATACAGTATATGGCCAAATTTAATCAAGACGGAAGGAAAATAGCAGTATTTCAGTGCTATGAAAAAGTATTTGCCCCTTCCTGAATTTTTTTTTGCTTGTTTGTCAGTTTTAAATGATTCAGATTATCAAACAAATTTTAATATTGCACAAAGATAACCTGAGTAAATACAAAATGCAGTTTTTAAATTATTTAATTTATTAATAGAAAAGCTGTCCAAACCCACCTGGCCCTATGTGAAAATATAATTGCCAGTCCCTTCCTCGCTAAATCATGAATGAACTGTGATTAACCACATTTTTTGGAAAACGAAGTTAAATTACACTTGCCACGCCCAGGCCTGATTACTGTCCCTTTAAATAGAAGCTGTCTGAAAAGTGCAGCACGCTAAAAGATGTCAAAAAGCAACACATGCCACGATCTAAAGAAATTCAAGAACAGATAAGAATCAAAGTACTTGACATGTATCAGTCTAGAAAGTGTTACAAAGCCGATTTTAAGGCTTTGTAACTCCAGCCAACCACAGTGAGAGCCAATATCCACAAATGGAGAAAACTTGGAACAGTGGTGAACCTTCCCAGGAGTGGCCAGCCTACCAAAATTACTCCCAAGAGCTCAACAAAGACTCATCCATAAAAGAATCCAGAACAACATTTAAAGAACTGCAGGCCTCACTTGCCTCAGTTAAGATCAGTTTTTATGGTTCAACAATAAGAAAGAGACTGGGCAAAACTGGCATCCATGGGAGAGTTCCAAGGTGAAAGCCACTGCTGACCAAAAAGAACACAAAGGCTCATCTCACATTTGCCAGAAAACATCTTGATTATATTAAAGTGTTCCTAAACCCAGGACCCTACATTCACTATATCTGGTCTCCCACAGTACACACAACATGGAAATAAACTGCTAAATACCTTTTCTCATCAGCAGTTAGAGCAGTCTTTTTACGTCTATCATTGTCCAGCAGAGCTTGTAGGAGGAGTTTTCATTTTCCCCAGATCCCCTGACCCTCTGTCTGGACAGTGCTGATTGGCCCTGTGCTGATCACATGCACTCTCTCAAGGAAAAAAAAAAAACTCTAGCAATACACACCAAACTGAGCATGTGCAGAGTGCCCCCAAGGCTCTGTTCTACTAGCAGATGGATTGGGGACAGTAGAAGAAGAGGAGAATCAGAGAAGACAGGATCAAACATCCTTTTTCACAATGCAGAGGAGTAACCCCTTTGGTTACACAGCGAGTATAACAAACATGCTTTACTGCATATATAGATTCTACTGTTGTGGATTTAGTAACACTTTAAAAACTTTGGGCAAAAATTCTGTGGACTGATGAGACAAAAGTTGAACTTTTTGGAACGTGTGCTTCCCGTTACATCTGGCGTAAAACTAACACAGCAATTCATAAAGTGAACATCATACCAACAGTCAAACGTGGTGGTGGTAGTGTGATGGTCTGGGGTTGCTTTGCAGCTTCAGGACCTGGATAACTTGCCATAATTGATGGAACTATGAATTCTGCACTCTACCAGAAAATCCTGAAAGAGAATGTCCGGCCATCAGTTCCTGACCTCAAGTGCACTTGGGTTATGTAGCAGGGGGTTTAGTGGGCAATGACTTTTTCACATAGGGCCGGGCAGGTTTGGACAGCATTTTTCTCTTAATAAATGAAATCATTACTTAAAAAATACTTTTTATTTTCACTCGGGTTATCTTTGTGTAATATTAAAATTTTTTTGATGATCTGAATCATTTAAGTGTGTCAAATATGCAAAAAAAAATCAGGAAAGGGCAAGTTCTTTTTCCACAGCACCGTAATACTGCTATTAGCTTCCAGTCTTGAACAAATTTGGCCATGTACAGTATGTATTTGATTTTTGTTTTCTGTGCTATTTGATGTAATTTGCCTTTCATACATATTTTAGACCTGGTTGCTAGACCATTCATTTCAACAATCTTTCCAGAAGATTGCTATGGAGATGTTTTTATCATGTAAAGCCTCCCTTGTGTGGACGCTGGAAATACCTCTGATTCCTGCTGGGTGCAAACATCTTGGATGTGATGTCAGCAGCCCCAGGAGACTGTCAGTCAAGTGACAAGTGACATCCTGTAGTATTCTCCTTTTGCTTCTCCCCAGGCAGGTAAATTTAATTTAGGGAAGTGAGTTGAGTGACGGAGGATTTGGTAGGGAAATGACTCTTTCTGGAGTAGTTAAATTCTCTTACATTTTTCTATGCTTTTTACCTGCAAACTTTTAAGTTGTTTAACCACTTTCCGTCCGGCCCATGTAGATAAACAGCCGGACGTGAGCTCTGCCAAAGCAGGTGGACATTTCTAAACGTCCCCCCCCGCAGCCATTTTGTATGGCTCTATTCACACCGTCCCCACACCAGAAATGTGCAGGACCCTTTTTTGGTCCGCACTAGAATCGGATTGCATGGGTATTCACACCTATGCGATCCGATTCTGCAGATCGCACCGCATTTTGCAGACCGATGTCGCCGTGTTGTTAACATACACACCCACATCGGTTTGTATGAACAGGGTGAGATTGTAATGCGGTGTGTGGAATTCGCACCACTTCAGTGTGAACCAGGGCTTAAACTGCCAGGTTGCAAGACTTCTGACCCTCTCTGTCTGGACTTTGACTAAAATATCAGTTTTGGTTTGACTGATCCTTCAGTATGAAAGTGGTTCTTATTAGATACTGGTTTCTAATTTTCATCTTTTCTTTTTCAGCCATAAAACAGACCTCAGTATTGATTTCCTACGACTTTTACATTTGTATATTGTATGTTTTCTTTATGTTTGCACACTATATTGCTTTATAACATTTTGCTTTATATAATTCAGTGTATTTTATGTATTTCTAGAAATGATTTTGACTTGCTCTTTCTCTAGGACTGATATAAATGTTTACAAGCTTTGTGACTCCTAGGCTTTCCTGTTGTGTGAGGCCTTTTGTATTAAGGCTCCATGCACACTAGAATTTTTAAACTCCTAGAAGCTGTTTTCATCATTTGTTTTTCTGCTCTTAGAAGCAAAATAGTATTATCCTATGTGTTCATGCACATTATTTTAGGCTAATAATGTTTTTAAAGCTTCAGGATTTAGGAGCAGAAAAAAACATTTTTTTGTAGAGTTTTTGGAGCGTTTTTTTGGCAGAAAAAACTGAGCACTACTAAAATGCTCCTAACAACAACTTTTTTTCTAGTTGTTTTTTTTTTTCTTGTACTGTAAAAACGCTAATAAAACGATAGCGCTCCTAAATGCTTCTAAAACGCCATTACAAGCCAGAACAAAAAATGCTATCATCAGTGTTTTTTTCATGCATTTTCTATTTCTAGTGTTATTTGAGCCTATAAAACCGCTAGTGTGCATATGGAGCCTTTATCGTGCTATATATGCTGGATTTTGGCAGTTATCAGACATTCGGCAGTGAATTAGGAAAGACCAACATTGTGGTCATTATTTTCTTGTTCATGTCATGTAATTCTTTAGTTTTTTTTCTTTCTTGTAACAAATTCAGACATTGTTAAATTCATGCTGATCATTTTTTGTTAGTGCTTATACTTTATTGTATGTTGTAACTTTTGCTTCCAATATTTAATATTTACTTCTTTCCTTCCTCCTGGCAGGTGGTTGCCAATGCTGTTGCTGCTCTCTCTGAAATCAGCGAGTCTCACCCCAACAGTAACCTCCTTGATCTGAATCCCCAAAACATCAACAAATTGCTGACTGCCTTGAATGAATGCACTGAATGGGGGCAGATCTTTATTCTTGACTGTCTATCAAACTACAATCCAAAAGATGAGAGGGAGGCACAAAGGTAAGGGGATATTTTATAATTAGTATTTGTACTTTATTTTTCAACTTGCAGGCATATATATTATGTTTGGTATTTATGTGTCACATTTGTTCTTTATAACCAAGGAACCTTTGTTGTATTTGTACAGTATCTGTGAGCGTGTCACTCCTCGCCTGTCTCATGCCAACTCCGCTGTTGTCCTTTCTGCTGTTAAAGTTCTGATGAAGTTTCTGGAACTTCTGCCTAAAGACTCTGATTACTACACTATGCTGCTCAAGAAATTGGCACCTCCTTTGGTTACTCTACTTTCTGGGGAGCCAGAGGTCCAGTATGTGGCTCTAAGAAACATCAATCTGATTGTCCAAAAAAGGTAATACCGATGATGTATTTCGCATGCATTTAGGCTTTGTTGCAAAGGTGTTTTTTTTTTAATTTAGAAAATTGAAACCCCAGCCTTCAATAATGACACCTTATAAACTCAATCCTCTGAAGCAACAGCCAGAATCCTTTCATATTCACATTTGTTGGCCATGCCTAAAATTTGAGGAACCCCCACTATATGTTTATCATGTGTTCCTGCATACCTAAAATAATTTTTAAAAACTGTGTACCTTCCTAGTTTCTTTGATGCAGGATTACACATAGGACTCTAGCTTAAACTTGTATTGTTCAGGTTAACTTGCAAGGAACATATCTAGAGTCAAATTGGATTAAAGGTGCATTACCATACAATGTACCACCCAAACCTTTAGACCTTTACCATTCTTAGGGCCGACAGTGTGCAGATCCAGTTTAAGCCTGGGTTCACACTGATGTGGTGCAGAATTCTCACTGGTTTCTGTGCGATTTATGCACTGCATCATGATCGCACCCCGTTCATGCGAACTGCTGCGGGTGTTTATGTTAGGTTAACAACACACTGAAATCGGTTTGCAAAACGCGGTGTGATGTGCAGTATTGGATCGCATGGGTGTGAATACCCATGCAATCCAATTCTGGTGCGGACAATAAAAAGGGTCCTGCACTATTTTGGTGCGGAGGCGGTGCGATCTGAGCCATACAAAATGTATGGCTCAAATTGCACCGCACAGAAATCACATGTGATTTGCACAGGAATGCAGTGCGGTTCCTGTGCGATTCACATGCGATGTGCCGCACTGCATCAGTGTGAACCCAGGCTAAAACCGATAAAGATCTGCCCACACAGTGCAGACATGGTATATAGTAGCAAACATAACTCCCCAGCCCTCTCATAAACAGGGCTTTCTTTGGGAAACAGACCTGCACAGGGTAGCCCAAGGAAAGTGAAATGTGTCATATGTGCAACATACTCTACATCAATGCATGTAAATTGCATTTAAGAAATCGTGAATGGGAACACTCACCAAACGAGATTTGAAGGGGACTTTAGGATCATCAAGGGAAGGACAGCTCTTTATTTGTTACAGCAGCAATCTGTTTCTTTACTGGCAAAAGCCAGGAACTACTTTAATGTTTACGTAGCTTGAATGTGTAATATTTCCATTTATTGACCTTTTTCTTCACTTGTGTAATCCAGGCCAGAGATTCTGAAGCAAGAAATTAAGGTCTTCTTTGTCAAATACAATGATCCAATTTATGTGAAATTGGAGAAACTGGACATAATGATACGGCTGGCGTCACAAGCCAACATCGCTCAGGTTAGTGTAACCTTGTTATCAAGTACTGTTCTCAAATGTTTCAGGTCATCATTTCATGCTTTTATTCATAATAGCTTTTTTTCCACCTGTAGGGAAAACTATGATATTGAACATCATGCAGGGAAGAGGAATATAATGCTATGTAATATATGCCACTGACCGCTTCAAAATTGTAGATTTCAGATGCTCCATATCTAGGTTATTATTTGGAATAGACCTTCAATTTAAACCTTGTGTTCCAACCATGCAGATATAACTGTTTTTTTCTTGTCAAGCTGCTTTGATTTTAAGGGGGAAAAAGAAAACTAGCCTCTCTTTGTGCTAGAGGCACTTCAATCACAATCTTAGACGTTGACAATACAAAAACTTGAACCAGGAAACATAGGTTTGGAAGGTACAATTTTTTCTATGGCATCAATGTCATAGCTCTGGATTTTGAGTCAGTCTACAGCAGTGTCTCAACCTTATTAAGACTAGGGTCTGGTATTTTTTCTAAAACCTTCCATGCCCTAATATTAAAAAAAAAAAGTTTATACTTGTACAATGAAAGTATTGTAATACAAAATATGTACTGAAATGCTCAAAGATTCTGGGCGAGGTTGGGTGTCTTTATGAAAGCGATGGGGGTTCTTTAGGGAGTTAGAAGACTCTACAGTAGACTTGATGGTCCTGTAGAGGATAAGGTTTCTGGAGGGTGTTGGGGGCAACTTTGGGCAATTGGGTCTCTCTAGGAGGCTATGAGTATTGCAGGGATGCTGTGGGACACTGTAGGGTTTTGTGGGGGATGGGGAACACTGTTGATGGTTGGGGGCTCTATAGGGGAGGCTGGAGACTTTGAAGCATGCAGGGGGCACTGCAAGGCATCAGGTGGTGCTATGGGAGGTGGGACCACTGTGGGTGCTGAGAGCTTTCAGGAGGTCTGGGGAGTGCTGTTGGAGGCTGAGGGGCACTTCAGCCACTATGGGAGGTGGGGGGCACAGTCCGAGCTAGAAGGCACTGTGGTAAGTTGGGGGGTCTGCAACTGATTTGAGGCCTAGAAGGAGGCACACAACAGGTCTGCGTGGAAACCTGTAGTCTAAAGTGTGTTTGATAAAAACATGTTGTAGATTTACTATTCTATATCTACTGGGGCATTTTGTATGTGAAACAAACTCTGTGGCTCAAATTTACCAGAGCTCTGGAAACAGTGCTGATACTCAGCTGCAACCAGTGGAAAAATATACTTAGCATTAAAATACACCTTTAATGGTGGAACTTTCTGATAGTCTGGATGCATTATACATATGCGTTCTTTAAAGAGGGAGTGTTTTGCAATAGTGAACATATACAATGTAGTGTGTCAGGAAAAAAAATTTCAGAAAATGAGGCTCTTGTTTTTTGAGAGACATTTTGTAACAGTGTATAGCAATAGTAATAATAATAGTGGTAATGTAATATTTTGGTCATGGATGCTATAATTAAATACCTCTAATACCCAGCAATGAACTTGTTAGGGATTCGGGTATGACCAGAAATGTGTGGACTGACACAGGGAAGTAGCAGGCTTCAGGAACACAGGCGTAGTCAGGGCTGGAGAGGTGGAATGGTCAGGCAGGCCGTTAGGTACTGTCAGGCACTGCCCAGCAGGATCTCTAGTACCCACAGAACGGGATTCCCCAGGGCGTGGAGTCTAAACCCCAGTCTGCCTTTTCACCAGAGCCCCTGATGGTGGGGATGGACTTGGCGCAGGACTGAGACCAGGTCACGGCCCCTGAGTGCACCCAACTGTGGTAGAGGGGTCCGCCAAGGGTATGTACCGTGGTAAAGCCTGACGTGAAGAGGATGGCAGACCTGGTAAAAGGGACAGATCCGTGCGGGATGGATGGATCGTCTGGGTAGCGTCAGGCGTAGTCAGGCAGGCCAGGTCAGCAACGTGCGGGGCAGCGAGGTACCGGAGGAGCAGGCAGAGAATAGTCAGGGTCACAAGCCGGGTTCAGTAACTAACGGGCAGCGCGGTACAGAGGATCAGGCAGAAGGATGGTCAGGCAAGCCAGGGATCAAGCAGGAGAAGTCAGCAGAGGTCAGGATCAGGCAGGGTCGGCAACAAATCAGATAGTCAGCAGAACAGGAACACAGGATACCAGGTACAGGGGCTCATGGGAAACAATACACCAAGGCACTGATCACAGGCCTGGTCCTACTTAAATACACCTCCTGCAATCAGCTTCAGCTGATGGCTGACTGCAGGAGTGAGCTTCTGGTTGCTGAGAGCACCCGCTGGCCAGCCCTGGTACTGCAGCCCACACGGCAGGTGAGTCCCACCATCAGTGGTGAATCCATTCCTGACAGAACTATCCTCGTAGTCTTTTCTTCACTATAAAAGAGAACCCCACTGACCTGCAACACTTCAGTGATGGTAGCTAATGAGCAACATAGAGTCCACTACAACCCCTAGCTCATGGCAGCCATTAGCACATTATTACATTTTGGAATAACTATCCAGTTCTCCAGCAGCAACTTGGCACAGGAGTGTAATAGTGTAATATTGCAATGGTAAAACAAAAGCGGTGCTGTTACAGCACTCTTTAGCGAATAAAGGGGGGCAAGGTTCCAAATAAAATAGTAGCAAGTTGTTTTTCAGAGCTGTGATCTTACTACCAGAAATTGTACAGCCCTATGTTCACAAAACCTTAAAGCTTTCAAGTATGAATGTTGAATAAAAAACACTTTCTTTGGTACTATTCTGTTGTTCGTACCCTTCATTGCAGGCAGTACAAGCTTCTCCCCAGCCCTCCATTTTAGGGACAGTATGTTGCTAGTGTTTAGTACATAAAAGAGAGAGATCTTTAGTCTATTTTGTGATCTATCACTTGGATCATTAATTTTAAAAAAAATCTGTCCTTCAGTCCATCTGCAACATGCCTTTATCGAGTGTTGGCCAATCAGCATATTTGTGTACAGTGAAATTTTTAGTATATATTCATTTCATGTAGCTTCCTTCATTCAGTAGCAGAGAGCTTTTCATAAACATGGGAGCCAAACCATGGATTTATATGGCCTTTCTTTCTTGTCTGGCAGGTACTTGCTGAGCTGAAGGAGTATGCTACTGAAGTAGATGTTGACTTTGTCAGGAAGGCAGTCCGTGCCATTGGAAGATGTGCCATCAAAGTTGAAGTAAGACGGTCAAATTCCTATATATGCTTGTGCTTTGTCATATTCCAGTATATGCTTGTGCACTGAATATGCACTGACGGATCTTTGATCACTTCTGATGAGAGATAAGAGCTCTGCGACTTTCATTCAGCACATGCAGTTTTTTCAATAACTTGGAGTTTCGCTGTGTTCTGTTTTTATTATGAAAAGAGAACATCGAAACTGGGAAATCTTTGTTACAAAGCAAGAAACATTTACTACTCCCAAATGTTTCTTGCTGATTGTTACCCAACCTAAAAATTCAAAAGGCAAGCCTCTTAATGCATACCACCACAAGAGGAGTGTGAAGGAAGGCCATCTTTCTACCAGCTGTAAACCAACCTAATCAAAAGTGTTTGCTTTTAAGTTATATTCAAAAGAACAAAGATCTGAAATTTAACCTAAAAACAAACCTTTATTACGTTGTAAATTACTAGTCCTTAGATGTTGTGACTGCATTATATTACTTTTTCAGGCAAAGTACATTTTCTGCAAGTACAAAAACAAAATGCGTTAATCCTATTAGAAAATGTATGCTCTTGTATCTTCAATGCACTAAGGTGAAAAATCCAACATTGTTATTTGTTCTGTTGTTGCTGTAATATAAGGGATTTATATAGTGCCAACCATTTCTACAGCACTTTACAAAATTAAGAGACAGTACAGTTACAATCCAATTAAAGACGGGTTCAGAGGGCCCTCCTCAAGAGCTTACAATCTCAAGGGAGAGGCAAGTGGTACAAAGAGTAATGACTGTGGAGGGACGAGTTGTAAAATTCCAGTTTTGTTTTTGGAGGGGAAGATTTATTTAAAGTAATGTTTTAATGAGATTTAAATTCTACACCACAGTCATTCTAGAGCACAACTGTGTTTTGAGATGTCTGGTGGGTCATCTGCTTGCTAAGGTTGAGGTGGTAAGGGGAGAAGATAGAAGTGACGAGGCTGGGGCAAGGTAGAGGTGAGATTTTGTCCTAAAGGTAGTCCAATGCAGAGTAGTAAAAGAAGGCTTTAACAGGTAACAGTGTTTGTGGGTTAACTGTTTTCTGGTTGGAAGGATGGAGGTTAAAGATTGACTGAGTGATAAACTGAAAAGGTTTTGGGCAGAGAGATTAAAAGGGGTGTTTGGAGGTTACAATGAGTGCTAAGGTGGGAGAATACAAGATACTGAGTATTGCCATCAGAATGAGTAGAGGTGTGTGTCCACTGCATTTGGCCAAATGATGCAGTTAGGTGGAGGACTTGAAAGGTACATGGGATGTTAACATCACCAAGGATGATAGTGGGTATTTCAGAGGAGAGAAGAGGAGTTCTTAGGGCGCATCTGCCTTGGAGACCAATTGAGGGAGACAGTAGAAATGGGCACTAGAGCAGCACTTCCAGGAGTAGAAGCAGACTATGGGCAGGACAGAAGAGAACAAGAAGGCGCTTCTAAGTGCAGTACATCCACATATTTATTGGTGAAAACATTTCAGAGGAGAGAATAGGCTAGCCAGGAAAGTAGTCAAGGAAGTGTGACACCGACCCCCAAGACCAATAAAAATCACAGCAGTCTGCAGAGAAACTGAAGAAAAGAGACAAATGCAGAGAGGAAGGTGTATGAAGAACGTAAAGTGCTTTTTGGGAATAGAGGCAGTCCAACTTCACCTCCCTTTTGTCCACTATGTCTGAGTGAGTGAGTCCAGTGGAGGCTACCATGGGAGAGGCAGACAGTTTCCTGAAAACAGCTTTCAGTAACAGCAAGTAAGCTAAAGGAGTTGGTGATAAAAAAAAGTAATTGGCACAGGTAAGCTTTCAATAGACAGAGCAGGCATTCTGTGGACACATGAGAAAGGGGGGTTCTTCAAATCATGGGAATAAGAATTCGATTGTTAGGGTTGTTGCTGCTGCTAGATGAAAGGAATGCTGGTTGTGGGGGTGGAAGTTAGATGGTAGGAGCTGGGTTTAGTTGAAATATCCCCAGATGGCAGGGATTACAAGAAGCCTAGAGAGGTAGGATTGGAGGGAAATTTATATGACTCTGGGTTCACACTAATTCGGTGTGGAATTTGCAATGTTTTCTGTGCGATTTCCGCACCGCATCAGAATCGCACCCCGTTCATGTGTACCGCTGCAGGTGTGTATGTTAAGAACACCCTGAAATCGGTCCGCAAAATGCGGTGCAATATGCAGAATCAGATTGCATAGGTGTGAATACCCATGTGATCCGATTCTAGTGCGGACCAAAAAAAAGGGTCCTGCATCTTTTTGGTGAGTGTGCGGTGCGATTAGAGCCATACAAAATGTATGGCTCCAAATGCACCGCACACAATTTGCATGTGATTTGCACAGGAATTCGGTGCGGTTCCTCTGCGCATCACATGTATTGTACCGAACTGCATATATGTGAACCTGGGCTTAAGGCATATTCCCCTGTGTTTACTTGCATCCTCTCTGGGGTGGAGTTCTGTCTCTTGGCGCTTTCTTATGTGTAGCTTACATTGAGTGCCTAATTTAGGAATGTCCTGTACCTCTGAAGCAATGTACTTAGAGCAGAGATGGATTCTGTCTGTGCCTGACACCCCTGTTATCAGCATTTCTCATCTGCATTTTGTGGACAACAAAACCTCTTATGTAGAAGAGAAGATGAGGTGTTTGTAGACCAAATCTAGAGAGCAGCTTTGGGTGACAATGCTGCTCCTTCATAGATAATAGTACATTTAATGAACATTATTGCCCTAGGACAGGAAGTGTCTTACTGGCAGGATCACCAAGTAGAAAAAAATGCCTGAAAAAAAAAATGCAGCCACCAAATCTAAGGACTGGTAAGCTGCAATATATAACATTTGTGTTTGGGTTTAGTTATTCTTCAACATATATAAGTGGAAGACATGCACCACTATCAAGATCTCCCTGACCTTGTACTGCTACTTTTAAGATTACCAACTCTGAGATATAAATGAATACAACTAACCAGAGATCAAAGCTTGTTAAGGTGCCTACTGAACAATTCTGAGATACACATGGCTAGCACTTTATCAGTTTATGGCAGCAGAAAGGTAGCCTATGATAGGGTTGTCCCACTGTAATAACATAAATCAGTTTGTCCAGCACTCTTGTTTATAGTGTGTGAAAAAAATCCAGAGATCTCATTCTCTAGGTTACACTGTCTTAGGTTCCAGTTCATATTTCATTTTGGGTTAAGTGAAGCTAAAACTGGCCACTTGCCGTTGCTGAGTAGTAGATGGCTTGCTGTGTAGACATTTGGTTATTCATTTTTTTTTACAAGTTACCGGGTGAGAAACTAGTTCACTCTTGGTTCTTTAGGTTGTTCAGTCCAGCAATGGACTTCTGCAGGTTACTTCTTTCAAATCCACAGCACAGCAATTTTTTTGCTTAATAAAAAAACCTAAAACATGTATTTAAAATAATTTTTACATTTTGTTTAAAAAAACGTTTACATTTATTTTAAAATAATTTTTAAAAAAATCATTTAAAATACCTGCTTATCTACTTTAAATGTTACTAAACCCACAACAGTAAAATCAGTCTGTATATGCAGTAAAGCATGCTTGTTATACTCACTGCAGAACCTAAGGGGTGAATCTTCCTTATTGTGTAAAAAGGCTGTTGTATCGCGTCTTCACTGATCCTCCCCATTTTCTACTGTCCCCAATCCATCTGCTGATAGTACAGAGTTTTAGGAGTCACTCTGCACATGCTCAGTTTAGTGTTTATTTCTAGAGAGTTATTGTTTTCTTTGGGATGGTGCATGTGATCAGCAGAGGGCCAGTCAGCGCTGGCCAGACACATACAGTCAGAGGAGAATGAAAACATCTCCTACAAGCTTTAACCAGCGCTCAGCAGGACACGGATAGAAGTCACAAGACTGCTATATACTGCTGCTAATGAGAAAAGGTATTTAGCAGTTTATATTTACTAAATTAATTGCATTTCCATGTTGTATGTAATGTGAGAGACTGGACATGGTGAATGTAGGTTCCTGATCTATGTGCTCATAATCCTATCACATCTGATACTGTATAACCTAAAGAAACACAATGTAAAAATGACCTCAAACATGCTGTATGCGTGTTCAGCTTTGCTTACTAAGAGCAGACTAAATTGGTACTTATAAAAAGTAACATAACACCACATTTAAGATATGATGTGGTTATTGTTGGAAGAAGTTTGTAAAAGTAGTGTTGGTGAATGCTTGTAACAGTAAATACAATTGGTGACAAATGGTATCCTCACATTTTTTTTTTTATCTTAGCAATCTGCGGAGAGGTGTGTAAGCACCCTTCTTGACCTTATTCAGACCAAGGTAAATTATGTAGTGCAAGAAGCCATTGTTGTCATCAGGGACATCTTCCGCAAGTATCCGAACAAGTAAGTTTTCCCTGTTGGTGCAATGAACCAAAAATTCTGTACTGCATAAATGACTGGTGAATAATTGCTATTGTATGCGCCAGATATGAGAGCATCATCGCCACATTATGTGAAAATCTGGACTCACTGGATGAGCCTGATGCTCGAGCTGCCATGATCTGGATCGTGGGAGAATATGCAGAACGTATTGATAATGCTGATGAACTGCTGGAGAGCTTTTTGGAAGGATTCCATGATGAGAGCACACAGGTAAATTTAGCTGCAAGCAAAGTTTAACCAGTTGCCTACTGGGCACATTTACCCCCTTCCTGCCCAGGCCAATTTTCATCTTTCAGCACTGTTGCACTTCAAATGACAATTGTGCAGTCATGCAACACTGTACCCATATGAAATTTATATAATTTTTTCACACAAATAGATTTCTTTTGGTGGTATTTAATCATCACTGTTTTTTTATTTTATTTGCACTATAAATGCATTTTTCTTTGTTTCTGTTATAAAATTTTGCAAATAAATAATCTTTCTACACACATTTAGGCCAAATATATTCTGCTACATTTATTTGGTGAAAATAACCAAAATCTGTGTTTATTATTTAGTTGGTAGGAAAGATATAGAGTCCACAAACTATGGTATATATCTAAAAATCAATAAAACCTGATGTACTGACGGCCTATCTCATTTCTTGAGGCCCAAAAATGCCAGGACAGTAAAAATACCCCCAAAATGACCGCTTTGCGGAAAGAAGCCAGACTGTGGCCAGTGGGAGTAGAAATTTGTCCTGGCATAAGTGGGAGAAAATGGTGTTCCATTTTTAGCATTTGGGTGAGGAATAGTACTCCATCTTTGGCATTAGTTCATGGAATAGTGCACAATCAATGGTGTCATTGGGTGGAATTGTGCCCTATCATTGGTATCAGTGGGATGAATAGTGCCCCATCATTGGTATCAGTGGGATGAATAGTGCCCCATAATTGGTATCAGTGGGAGGAATAGTGCCCCATCATTGGTATCAGTGGGATGAATAGTGCCCCATCATTGGTATCAGTGGGAGGAATAATGCCCCATCATTGGTATCAGTGGGAGGAATAATGCCCCATCATTGGTATCAGTGGGGTGAATAGTGCCCCATCATTGGTATCAGTGGATGGAATAATGCCCCATCATTGGTATCGGTGGAAGCAATAGTGCACCATTATTGTTATCAGTGGAAGGAATACTGGACCATTATTGGTATTAGTGGGAGGAATAGTGCCCCATTTTTGTTTTCAGTGGGAGAAATAGTGCCCCATTATTGGTGTTAGTGGGAGGAATAATGCCCCATTATAGGTGTCAATGGGAGAAATACTGCCCCGTTATTGGTGTCAGTGGAAGGAATAGTGCCCCGTTATTGGTGTCAGTGGGAGGAATAGTGCCCAGTTATTGGTGTCAGTGGGAGGAATAGTGCCCCATTATTGGTGTAAGTGGCAGGAATAGCGCCCCATCTTTGGTGTCAGTGGGAGGAATAGTGTCCCACCATTGGAGTCAGTGAAGGAATAGTGCCACATCATTTGTGTCAGTGAAGTAATAGTGCCCCATCATTGGTGTAAGTGCAGGACTTTTTGCCCTGCTTTTGGTGTCGGAGGAATAGAGACTCATATCAGTGGTGCCTAAAAGGCCAAATAAAAGTAAGCAAAGGGCCGCATCTGGCCTCTGGGCCTTAGTTTGGAGACCACTGGTATAAGCAGGCGTTTATACCGAATGAAACTAATTCATTCAGTAGTTTTTGTTGTGGTCAGCTGTGATTGGCTACAGCTAATCACATGCTACAGATGGGCTGTGATTGGCCCAGTCTATACATGTGACCACTGTGACCAATCACATCTAGCAGCACAGTTGTAAGCAATGAAAGGAAGACATTCATTGTTTACAACTGTCATGTCATCTGCTGTGATTGCTTATAGCAATAGCTTATAGCTTATAGCAATCACATGACACTGGCAGCAGGCCAGTGTAGTGATCTGTCATTGGCTGTGTCCGGTGGACATCCGGTGACAGATTGTACCGCAGCCTGTGGCACGATCCTGCGAGGACATTATATGACATTCGGTTGTCATGTTACAATAACCAGGCGAGAAGAAGTTAAACCAGAACTCAAGGTTTACTGTGACATAAAATAATATGTTTTGGACCAAGCTGGCCCAAACAAACTATTTACTTCACTAACAGATGTGCCCACTTTGAGCACTGTGTAAACTGTATGTAGCATCCGCTACATACAGTATACATTGCTGTATTCCAGCAGTGAGACAGGGACTTATCGTCCCGTTCCTGGGACAAAATTGAGTCAAGCTGATTGCTGCTCAGTCATTCATAGGAATCCTTATATTTTATGCATGAATACAAGGCTTCCGCTGAGTGGCTGAGATGGAGAGGCAGGCAGATGATGTCAGGATCTCTACCTCAGCCACTCGTAAGAAGCCTTGAATTCATTCATAAAATACAAGGCTTCCTATGAACGGCTGAGCGGCACTTAACCTGACTCGATCTTGTTCCAGGTATGAAATCCTCATCCCGCTGCCGAAACACAGTGCTCTATTTTGAATGTAACTGATGCTACATACACTTTATATACTGCTCACAGTGGACACATCTATTAATGAAGGAAATAGTTTGGGCCAGCTTGGCCCAAATTAACTGTTTAAAGTCACAATAAACCTGGAGTTAGGCTTTGAGGTGGAGCTTTTGTTGATTAGGGTGGTCCTAATTTCTTTTTCATTAGTATTGGTTGCCAGGTAAATTTTTCGATCGGTGTAAACGCATTCACGCTTGTTTTTTTACCAGTTGGTACCTAATAAACAACTGGATTTTCTGATTGCTCATATAAACCTCCAGTTGTGTTTGATTACTATCAATAAAAAAAAAAATCTATGACTCAAAATTTTTATGGCATTATCTTTTTTAATATTCTTTGGTTGTTTCTTTAGGTGCAGCTCACACTTTTGACTGCTATTGTTAAACTCTTCCTGAAGAAGCCATCAGAAACACAAGAACTAGTGCAGCAAGTTCTGAGCCTAGCTACACAGGTATGGGTATAAAATGTTGGATATTTCACATATTGATTCTGAAATGAGTATGACTGTAAAGTTTTCTTTATAATACCATGATTACATTGTTTTAGTACGGAGTTTTTGTTTCCGTACATAGTATGGTTATAGATAATAGTACATCATGGGAGCTGTATTTCTGGTGCAGTGAAAGAAGTATTCATTCAAGAGAGAGGCCAGATCAAATCGCTAAAGGCCTTTGTAGGACTGATGAGAATATCCAACATCAATGTTCTTATCGTTATCACTGCATATGAACAGGTATATGGTAGAGTCTACTATTACTGCCATTCTTCAACCCTCTCACTGGGATTCTACCCTATTTTAAACCTGATTGCTAACCAGTTTCCAGGGTGAATGGCTCTTGCCATTTGTAGTCTCCCTCAATGAAAACATTTATTCCACTAGTTTCCAGGTGCCATCATTTTGGCCCCAGCAGCCCTGGAACACTCAGCCAAGTAATATAGTGCTGTAATCTAGTACGTGCAAGATAAGATGCATGCTAAATGCTCTTCATGGTGCTCTGTGTAGCATGCACTGTACTGTTTTAGGGTCCTATGACTACACACCAATGTGACAAAATGAAAGTATTTTAAAAGAAGTCCATGAATTGGGGATATAGAAAAATGCATAGTAAGGAACTGACACAAAAAATATTAGAGCCGAAAGAGCGAGAGAGAGTTGTGTTCCCTGCTGCTGAGAGGGGAACTTTTGCCTGCTGATCTGTGCTCCCACTTACAGCCTCTGCTCTGTCAACAATAGCTAGCACAAGGCTGTTCTGAGAGCTTAGAGACAGAGCTGTAAGGTGGGGAGGGGGTTGTGAGCAAGTGAAACTAGAATGATCCCACACTTCAATAGAAATATTGATTACAAGCTGTGTAAAACAGCCTGCAGCAAAGAAAATGAACAATATTCAGGCAATGTAAAGGCATGGATGGTGAATAGGTTGTTGAATATCTCCTTAAATTGGACCTTTCACCTAAAAGGATATTCGTTTATTGATGCCAAAATGCTGCAGTAAAAACATGTATTAAAGAAAATGTCAAATATAAAAATATCTTACTATTAAAAAGTGTGTTAGTTACAGTAGGATGAGTTTATACATTTGTTTCATTGTTGCTGCCTTTCTGAAACCAATGGTAGTAGCACTATTGGTGGGCGAGGGTGTTTGCTGGCAAACTTCATGATGTTGAGTTTTCAAAGGAAAATATAAATATAATTTTACCTTTTTAAAAACCTGGAGAAATATCCACCACTGTTAAAGCTCCCAATATAAACACAAATTATATGGTAACAATTCCAAAGCTTTTATTTAACACCAAGACATTAAGACTATCAACCCCAAAACAACATAGTAAAACCACATAAAATTCTAATAAACTATTGCTTAAATGTTCCAAAAGGAGTGTCAGATGTACAAACATGATTCCCCAGGTTTTAAAGATACTATTGAGTGGGGATGTAGCACCATAATACTTTTGGTTGGATATAGGAACATGTATTCATAAGTACAATTTTACAAACAGCCTCACTAATCCTAATTTTCCAAATTCATAATATATCTTTGTAAATATATAGAATCCTTTCTTATCTTTCCTGGAATTGTGAAGACATTCTATCTAGCCTGGCAAGCAATGACCTATACACAAGGTCCAACTTTACTTACGTGTCAGACTTTCTATTTATTACAATAACTTTTGTGGGCCGAGAGGCATGACTGTTTTCAGAACCCCTTGTACCCTGTTGTCTTATTCTTGTAGTCTTTCTACTAATGCAACTAATAGGTGACTTTAGTTAGGAGTAAGCATCTCCTAATAAAGGAAGCAACTACTCCTTTGGGAGTGAAAGGGTCTCTCACATTTGGCAAAAATAAAGAACATTTTACCTATGATACATTTTATCATTGACCCTTTGAGAGTCACAGGTACAGATATAAAGTGCAAGCACCTAGAGGTTCGTACACATACCCGAAGCAGCATTTTAGAGCCCCCAATTTACCTTGCTGCCAGGCTGTTCTGATTGGACAAAGCTGTGGTACCTTCTCGTAATGCAAAGCTTGCCTACCTGCACTTTTTTTTAGGCCAGAGATGCAGCCTATATCAATAGGAATGTATGAGGGGTTGGAGGGAGCTCTGATATTTCCTGGTTGTAGCCCGATTAGTCTGGCAGTCAGACAGAGCAGGGGACTATGAAAGCTGCTACAGGTATATGCTGGTAAAGGTATATGCAAGCCCTTGTTACCTGCCCTTCATACCTGTCTGTTGCTTGTTGATTACGTTTTTTGTCTATTAAAGTGGCTCACTTTTTCACAAATTGTGATGTATGATAAGGTGACATGTATACTTCAGTATGATCTGTTTTGAAATACAGAAAAAATGCAATATTGATTTTATTTTAACAAGTATTATATGTACCTCTCTGAGTACTTTTAACTGCATATTCAGAAATTGAAGGTAAGAACAGGCTTTTAAAGCAGGTGCTGTGTTTTGTATATAAACCGGTAATGACAAAGGTATGACTTAACACTTGTCTTTGACATTCAGGTCTACGCTGTACGTAGATGAGAAATACAACCGAGGGCATCTCTGCAGATGCTTTTTAGTGCTAAACCCCTGAATCCCTAAAATCCTTCCATATCCAGTGGGATTCACTTTTATTTTGCCTTTTTCTCTGGTGTACCATTTTATCATTACAAGCTGTTCTTTGTGGAGGAGAATTAGGGAGGCCTTGAGAAAAGGGTTTTAGGAAAGGGCTATTGAGAGATAATCCACAGAGTCATACTGAGCCTGCATATTCTATTGCAACACTCATTTCTACCTTATATATTGTTTCCATGTTTCATGTCCAAAATTTATCAGAAATGTTTAATGCCTATGTACTGATCAAGTTCTTTTCCCTCAATGCAAAACAATTCACTTTATCCTTTAAAGCCTAACTCAGGGCAAATTTCAAAACTAACATATGTATTGGCAATCAAGTACCCTTCCTCTCAGCCTTCTGCAAAAAAATATTTGTGCGACCTAATGCACTATCCTCATTCAGTCATTGTTTCCATGCACCTGTCCTCTTGATTTCCTGCCCTGTGGACCAAAAAGCTTTTTGTCCGGCACCCAGTCCCCTCACCGTACCCATATAGTTCTCAGTGCTATTGTGTGCTGATGTACAGATGTCAATGTGAAGAGTAAGTTTGATGGAATTGGTAAAATGCTGCTATGATTAGCCTACCTGCCCTTTCCCTACCTACTTTCCCTTTCTTTCTGCATTTTTCTGAGGATGCAAAGCTACGAATCCGCCTTTCCACCCTTGACGCAATTCCTCCCAAGGATAAACCATAGTGTCTACTCATGGAACATGTATTCCTGGAAACTGTAGGGGATAATGTGAGGCTGCCGCCCAGACACTCCTCCAGGTTTCTGAGCATAGCTGCATAATTGTCGGTTCCTAGACCAAGTGCAATATGCAGCATTTTTAAAGCTTGTAATTTTAGGTGGATTTTTGTATGAGCTGAACAATAGTAAATAAAGCAGGGGATCCTGGAGTTTGGGCTTTACTATCAGATCGTGTTTGGTTGAACTGTGATTTGTGGTATTTTTTTTTTTTTTTTATAAAAATGTTTATCATAACATTAACCCTTGTTATGATGGATAAAACTGAAAGGAGATGCAACTCACAAATATTTAAGGTGCAAAATCACTATCTTGCTACCTGTTGTAACTAAGCCTATTGTGAAAGCTCTTCGCAAATACCAAGATTCTAGATTGGAAATTTTGGATCCTTGTCTACTTGTCTTTCATTGCTGGGGAGTATGGGAACCAAAGCTGTTGTCAAGCTCTGCTACCCACCCCTCACTCATGCAGAAACCATGAACATAGGTCATTACATTTTTCAGCATTCTGAAAAGCCTCTTTATCAATCTCCATGGTCATAATGCGCTATTCTCTGAACTGCAGTTCACTAAGCAGGGCAAACCATCAGGCTCTCTTTAAAGGATAAGAAAAAAATAAATGCACATTTTATTTTACCTACAAAAAGATGTGCATTTATTATTTTTTTATTAGGAGACTGTAAAGCATTGCACCTGCGATCAGTAGATCGCGGGTGCAATGCAGGGCTCCTGTAGACTTTCATTCTGAGCTATCTGCTCATACCTTGTACGGGCAGGCAGTCACACACTGACAGGAAGACTCAATGAACTCTCTAGAGTGCTCACCAGTGCTCTTGTAGTTCATTGAGAACTACAGACTGTCAGCTGCAAAGGCTTGTTGATACTTGTAGTTCTCCCATTCACAGAACTCTGTGAATGAATGACATGGCCGGATGAACGGAGCCTCGCATAGCCACATCTTTTTTTAAAATTGTGACAGCTGGCATTGTGTGAAGAAACCTGTGCCTGCTGACACAGTTGTGACTTGGGGGGTGTAACATGTTAAAAAGGTGAACTTATCCTTTAACCCTTTCGCTGCCAGGTCCATATGGCATGCAGTCCTACAGCACTGCTTCCAGTTGGCCCTCCATTCCCACTTCTGCTATAAGCTCATGGTCACTTCAGTGAACATGAACGTATAGCAGAATTGTTCAGCAGAGACTGCTGAACAAACCAGTAGTTCTAATCAGTGGATGACAATGAAACTGTAAAAAAAAAATTTGAAATTAAAAAAAAAAAAAAAAATTGTAAGGCCTTATTCACGCAGGGCATATGACAGCGTATACCCCTGCAAGGGCCGTATTTACTTGCACAGGTGCTCCATGCATCCCCATGTAGGCAGTCCCATTGATGCCATTTGGGATGTAGCCCCTGCTTCCCAGTTCGACATCCATGTGGTTCCAGGCACATGTCCCTGAGCTCACACTGTCTGCGTTCGGGGTCGTGCACCCATACCCACGTGTGTGCCTTATTTGACAGCTCTGGCTCTTGGTGGTTGACCCAGCATGTGGGTTGACAGTAAATCCTCAGAACTTTTGTAATCTCTGACTAGAGAAATTTGGAGTTTATACGAGGCTGAACAGAGTAGTGGGGGAGCTAATGAGCGCTGTGTGTGTGCACTGGAAGAAATACATTAAAGTACCATGTACCAGTATGAAAAAATACCATGTTCTCTTTGTATTGCTTCCTTTGTTTGAAATCCCTGGTTTTCCTGCCAGTCCCTCTTATAGCTTGTTAAAAACTGACCACAATAGGCACAGTGTGGTCAGTTCTGTGATGGGAGCTAATCCAATGCTCAGGCTTCTACTGACACCCCCCCCCCTTTCCCACACAGCTATTCACTGGGAAGATCAGTGTATTGCTGTTTCTCCTCTTCCAGCTCCCTATGCAGCTGAGAACAGAGGGTATGTGATCACTTATGAAAAAGGGGAAAAAAAGGTATTGATAATGTTTGTTTATATCTATACACAAATATTTTACCTTTCATTTCTATTTTGGTTGTTTTACATATACTTTAGGACATGGTTTACATATGCTTTGCCTTGCATTGCAAATAAGTGGATTGCATAAAGTACTGAGTCATTTGTTGTGTGAGCTTGCCCTGCTGTAAGGTCATTTTGGAGTTTGTAACTATAAGCTGGGGAAGTGCTTATACTAGCCATACACCTGACAATTTAAACCAGCTTTTAAATAAAATTAGAAAACAAACTAGCAAAGTAACCTATCACCAACAATGACAATTGTTTTATAGTTTTTAAAGAAACTGTTGTAGGCTGCATGCTTTGATCCATTTGATTGTTCTTGTAATTGAAAGCTGGTTAAAGATGATGGAAATTGTTTGAAATGGCCCGAATGTTGCCATGTGTATGGCGAGCATTAAAGTTTATTTAAAAACAAATTGTGCTTTAGAATTTAGATGTGCTGTTAGGCTTTTGCAGTCTCTAATATAGTTTTTTTTTTTAATGATCTCAGCATGAGGCCAAATATAATTAAATGTACAGCTGTAATTGGTTTGCCCATGGCATTTGGTCTAGGTTTAAAGCATTAAACATTTGTTTCGAATATTACCGCTGTTGATAATCGTGTATTGGTGACATATTGTGGGTGTGCTGAGTGTCACCTTCTTTTTATCAAAGGATTCTGATAACCCTGACCTACGTGATCGAGGATATATTTACTGGCGTTTGCTCTCCACTGACCCTGTGACTGCCAAAGAGGTGGTACTTTCCGAGAAGCCACTTATCTCTGAGGAGACGGACCTTATAGAACCCACTTTGCTGGATGAGCTGATTTGCCACATTGGATCTCTGGCTTCAGTGTACCACAAGCCACCCAATGCTTTTGTTGAAGGCAGCCATGGAGTCCATCGTAAACACCTACCAATCCAGCATGGAAGGTGAGCGTTGTGGTCCTTTTGTAAAATGGTAAATAATATTTCATCTGAGAATGCTTTACTGTGAAAAAGTATTTCATGTTTGTTATTAAGGGTAGGTAGCACAGGGAATTTCTGCTATTATAGCAGACTTTAGGAGCCTTAACTAATGTCAATTAAAAATCTGTATTTAACCCTCCCAACCTAGAGCTAAAAGGTGCTTTAAGGTAAACATGTCATAAACCTGGGCAGTGAAAACTGAACAAATGTTGGAAAAATACATCAGTAGTAAAACGATGGTCAGTAGATACAGCCATACTGTATATGCAGCTGAAGTTAGATGTAAATCTTTACTTTAGCTGTTAAAGTTGTCTTGGCTTTAATCCCTTCCACATCTGCCAATCATATTAAATCAGTTGGGAGGTTAGGATGACCATGAATAATTAAAAATTTTACAGGAAAATTTTCATATTTTCACATAACTTTAGCCACCTACATTTTGTCCTCTACTAATCATGTTAACATGCTTCTCTGCACTAGCAGTTTGACTCACCTGTGGTTTTCAACACAGGAATCTTAACACAACAAGTGATTATCTTAGAACTGCTGCAACTGTGACTGGCTTGTAAAGTGTCCCCTATACTGTTACATGCCCCTAATACTTTAAGTATTTACATTTTTACTAAGGAACAAGGACGAAGGGCGGTAGTTTTCCCCTGAAATGTAATATTGTGTACATAATTTTTTTTTCTGTCTAATATTGAATTCTAGCATTGATATTGGAGACAGCCCTATAGGACCAGCTCCTACCTCTGCCCTCGAGCAGCCACAAGTCATTCCCTCTCAAGGAGACCTCCTTGGTGACCTTCTTAATCTAGACCTCGGACCTCCAGGAAATGTGCCACAAGTATCTACAATGCAGATGGGAGCAGTGGATCTGCTTGGTGGAGGCCTAGATAGCCTGGTAAGAAATTGTGTAGCTTCTCTTTAAGCTGCTTATTTTAGCAATCATCATTTACATATTTATTGCTCCTTGACTCTTCATGTACTCTTAAGTATCATGATAGCAGTGATCTGGTCTGAGCCTCTAGCACATAGCTGGCAGGAACAGCTGCTCGTAGATACATGTTTTCTTCTAATTGCAGCACTTCCAAGGGTGCCTGGAGCTCCCAATCATAAGATTTGCTTATTAGACCCATACCTGTGATGTAATGTTCATGTGCCACATCGCAACCAGAGCAGGATCAGGATCTCATGCCTTTTGGTAGCATAATATTAATAATTCCCATTACAATGTACAGCGCTGAGCAAACCGTTGGCGCTATATAAATACTGTATAATAATAATAACAACCCTTTTGGTGCTTTGATCTTTAATCAGCCCACATTAATCATTGACTAGCAAATGAATAAGTCACATTTTACCTTAGCTATAGTTCTTTTCCTTTTATTGATACAAATCACCCCATAGCAGTTAGAAAATTAAAACCGCTAATGCTAATTATGCTAAGTACATAATATACACGTTCTCTGAGAAAACACATATATGCCTGAAAGAATCATTGGTGTTGCTGTCTTTTAACTTTTTACCTGCTATGAAAAGAATTACATCAATAAAAGTAAAGGTCTACTTCAGCAGTAAATGTGGATCTATTCATTCTCTTCCTGTGAAAGGACCTTGTTAATTGATGTTTGTACAGGTGAAACTCAAATGAGAATATCGTGCAAAAGTTCATTTATTTCAGTAATGCAACTTAAAAGGTGAAACTAATATATGAGATGGACTCATTACATGCGAAGCAAGATAGTTCAAGCCGTGATTTGTCATAATTGTGATGATTATGGCTTACAGCTCATGAAAACCCCAAATCCACAATCTCAGAAAATTAGAATATTGTGAAAAGGTGCAATATTCTAGGCTCAAAGTGTCCCACTCTAATCAGCTAATTAAGCCATAACACCTGCAAAGGGCTCCTGAGCCTTTAAATCGTCTCTCAGTCTGATTCAGAAGGATTCATAATCATGGGAAAGACTGCTGACCTGACAGTTGTGCAGAAAACCATCATTGACACCCTCCATAAGGAGGGAAAGGCTCAAAAGGTAATTGCCAAAGAGGTTGAATGTTCCCAAAGTGCTGTATCAAAAAGCACATTAATAGAAAGTTATGTGGAAGAGAAAAGTGTGGAAGAAAAAGTGCACAAGCAGCAGGGTATGACCGCAGCCTGGAGAGGATTGTCAGGAAAAGGCCATTCAAAAGTGTTGTGGACTGAGGCTGGAGTCAGTGCATCAAGAGCCACCCCACACAGATGGATCCTGGACATGGGCTTCAAATGTCGTATTCCTCTTGTCAAGCCGCTCCTGAACAACAAACAACGTCAGAAGCATCTTACCTGGGCTAAAGAAAAACAGACCTGGTCTGTTGCTCAGTGGTCCAAAGTCCTCTTTTCTGACGAGAGCAACTTTTACATCTCATTTGGAAACCAAGGATCCAGAGTATGGTGGAAGAATGGAGAGGCACGCACTGCAAGATGCTTGCAGTCCAGTGTGAAGTTTCCACAGTCTGTGTTGATTTGGGGAGCCATGTCATTTGCTGGTGTTGGTCCACTGTGCTTCATTAAGTCCAGGGTCAACGCAGCCGTCTACCAGGAGATTTTGGAGCACTTCATGCTTCCTTCCACAGACGAGCTTTATGGGGATGCTGACTTCAATTTCCAGCAGTACTTGGCACCTGCCCACACTGCCAAAAGCACCAAAACCTGGTTCAATGACCGTGGGATTACTGTGCTTGATTGGCCAGCAAACTCACCTGACCTGAACCCTATACAGAATCTATGGAGCATTGCCAAGAGAAAGAGGAGAGACATGAGACCGAACAATGCAGAAGAGCTGAAGGCCGCTATTGAAGCATCCTGGTCTTCCATAACACCTCAGCAGTGCCACAGGCTGATAGCTTCCATGCCACGCCGCATTGAGGCAGTAATTGCTGCAAAAGGGGCCCAAACCAAGTACTGAGTACATATGCATGCTTATACTTTTCAGAGGTCCGATATTGTTCTATGTACAATCCTTGTTTTATTGATTGCATATAAAAATCTAATTTTCTCAGATTGTGGATTTGGGGTTTTCATGAGCTGTGAGCCATAATCATCACAATTATGACAAATCACGGCTTGAACTATCTTGCTTTGCATGTAATGAGTCTATTTCATATATTTAGTTTCACCTTTTAAGTTGCATTACTGAAATAAATGAACTTTTGCACAATATTCTAATTTTTCGAGTTTCACCTGTAAGTGTGCTCAATCCAAATAAATAAGTGGTTGTTTATCTTAAAACAGATCTCATCAAAACTTTTTACTTGTGGTCTTCATGTTCTTATAGTAGGGTGGAGTTAGAATATCTGTCAGATTTTGTATTGCTGTCTGTGACCCTTTTTTTTCCTGTAGCGTGGATTATTAGGAAATAAAGTGAGGGAAAATCTTCTAAAAGGAATAAAGACTGCAGTAAAAAACCAAAGAGAGGTTGAATCCCTTATTCTAAAACTTGGGGGGGGGGGGGAACATTAATCTGTACCCGCTGACAAAGACTGGCACACTGAGTTTCTGACTCAATGACCTGGGCTTCTGACACACAATGCAGAAGCCCAGCTTGTTGGCCTTTTATCCCTTTGTTAGGACAGACAATATTCAAATTTAGTTTTACAACTGATATTGAGATCTGCCAGCACAGTATAGACAGGGTTAATTATGGTAAGCATTAAAGTAAAACTAATTTTGTATAGAGCAAGAGAGGGTTATAACCCCTGTTGGATTTTGTTTTCACCATCTGTGTCCCATTGTGGAGATTTCCATTCACTTCCTGCCTCATAGCCAAACAGGAAGTGAGAGGAAATCCCTGCAAATTAAGGGAATTGCTTGAGGACCCCCCAGGAACCCAGAACTAGTGTCCCTATTTGAACATTTCCCATCGTTTACTTTTCTGGGGACAACTCAAAATGTAGGATTTTCTTTTACTTTCACTGTCAATGATAATGGTAAACAGGACAAATAGGGCAAATCTCCTTAACGAGGCCACAGACAGCAGTATAAACTGAGAGGAGTTCTAATCCTTCTCCACTCTATCCAAAACTAAAAAAAAAGTTTTGCTTTTAGTTTCCCTTTAGTTTACTTTTACTTTAAAGCGGAGTTCCAGTCATTTTTAGGAATTACCCACATTGTAATGTACACTGCTAGTGAATCAAGATATGGATACTGAAATGTAGAAATTTCCTGCAGAAAATACCTTTTTTAGTAATGTTCCCCGTGACTTCCGGCTGGGGCCTCCTAGGCAATTGCTTCATCAGCCTTGCCCGTTGAATCCTGAGATATCTACGTCATCGATCCCAAGAGTCTTCGTGCATTTAATGCGGGTACACAAAGCGTGCTTCGCAGTGTCATTACTACTTATGCGCGAGATCCCAGGGTGCATGCTGGGTAGCCAGCTGCACGAAATTCAGGAAATGAAGCCAGACCAGCTTCAGCTGCCAAAATCCTGCATGGCCGCAGCTTGAGGGGGACAAAAGAAAATAATCAGTTTGTAAGTAATTACAATGTGTACATGGGCAACATTATCCATTCTGCTTATGAGGAATTACAATGATACCTGCAATGCTATTAACCAATTTTTATAAACGTCCTCCCCGCTTCCCTGCTTGTGCGCGCTTCCTGGGAGCACGCAGCACTGCGATCTTCCGGACACAGCGGAACACCGATCGTTGTACGAGACCTCTGTGTGACGTCCCGATCATATGATCACTGGTTGGCCAATCAGTGATCACATGAATAGTAGTAAGCAAGATGTCACTTCTGACATCATTGCTTACTACGTGTGAAATCTGTGAATGATCACAGAGGTCACATGGTACAAGGCTATTCACAACAGCATTGTACCACGTGACAAGCTGTGACCAATCACAGCTCACACAGTATTTCTCAAGGGCTGCAAGAATGCAGCCAGAGAGAAGGAGAAATTATTGATTTTACAGCCTTTA